GGGAAGGCCTGGGCCCCGCCCTGCAGGAGTTCACAGTCTAGGTAGTTGGGATAGAAGAACCCTCTCCTGAAAAGAAGGTCTGCACAACTAGTTTTAGGGCCAGGACTTCAAGAACTGTGCAACTTGGGTTGATTTCAAATTATTTCCCAAATAGAAACACATAGAAATAAAAAAGCAATGAATATAAAAGAAATCCAGCTGAACACAAAACGACGACCTTTTAGCTTGTCATAGCTCTGAGTCAAATACAGTGACAGCTTTGAGGATGGCAGAACAGAGGGTCACCGTCCCCATGAAGGCAGAGCTCCACTCTGGGGAGATCTCGGTATTGTTTATAGTTGAGCAGTGCTTCCAGGAGGCTGTTGGTAAAGGCAGCACCGTGGGTTGGTAAGGATAAGGAGTGGGGCTTACACAGATAACCCTAAATCATAACCCAGTCCTCTACCTCCTCCACCACCACTCTTTCCCTTAGCAGGTGTGATAGGACCAGGACCATGTTACTGGGCCTGCCCCATCCCAGTGCATGGCCAGTGTCCTCTTGTAAGCACCTGTGCCTTCTGGCCTGAGAGCTTCTCTCAGCTGTCAGCAGCACCAGAAGAGGAGCCAGGTGTGACACAGGCAGTAACTGAGCTGCAGGGCGCACCTCCCTTTCCTGCCTCTAAGGTAGAATGCCCCAAGGCATGCTCTGCAGTCTTTCCAGGCTCACAATGGGGCTCGCAATGGGGCTGAGTTCCAGGTGCTGCCAGCTCCTCTCTCAGTGCTTCCTGGGATAACGTCCCTAATCAACTATACACACTTGAACCCTTGTCTTGAATCTGCTCCCAGCGCATTCCAACCCAAGTCACTGGCTCCTTAAACAGAGACACTTGAGTACTCCTCTCCCCCTAGCTGCAGCATGCATCTCAACCAGGCTTCCCGGACAGGCATCTGCCCCACCCCTGGAGATGAGCCCACCCTTGCAGCACTGCCTTGGTCTTATGAACGTTGCTCACATCCCCAGGCAGCATCTGTCCCAGCAGGAAGGGAAGAGCCCTATGACTCTTCACTGGGCTGTCATCTTCTCTGTCTGGCCTCTCCTGTGATGAGGGCCACTGCACTTCTCATCCTCCACCAGGCACAAGCTGTCACCCATGGCTGCATGGGCCTCCTCCCTTAAGCTCTTCAGCAGAGCTGTGAGGTGTTTCTTCTCACAACGAAGTCAGTTGAAACCAATACTACTTTTACTCCAAAGGTGAGCAATGCAGAGCAGGCACTCTGCTGGAATATCACAGCCCGCAGACAGGCACTCTCAAGTTAGGTGAGATTCACACATGGAACTGTTTTTATTTCACTAGGAATTTCTCCCAACTCTTGAAGAGCATTTATCCATACCACCTTGGAAAGCACCGCAGCAAGATGGTTAACAGCACAAAGCTGAAGCCAGATGGTCTGGGTTTAAATTTTGGCTCTGCCTAGTTGTGTAGCCTTGGACGAGTGAATTACTCCTGAGCTGTACTATGAAAGGGGAGCAACAGAACATCTACTTCCAGGGTTGTTGGGGGCTTAAATGAGCTGATGTATGTCAAGTGTTAATGCAGCACCTGGCACAGAGTAAGAGTGCGGTGATCACTGACTGCCCAGTGTTCCTGTTTGTCTTAGAAGCGCAGCAGCAACCTGCACAATTGCTCTCCTCCTGACGTTTGCAGAGAGGGTTACAACCGGGATAGGCTCTACCCAGCCAGCCTTCAGTCCTGTGTTGAAACTCCCTGGTCCTCCACAGTTGTCCATTTCTGACAGAGTACAATCAGGTCACGTTGACTTCTAGTATATCCTATTTCACAGCATAATAGTTCAAAAAACTTCACAATCCCATCCCCAAATGCACAGTCTCACTCCCAAAAGCCTGCTCCATCTCCCCTGAGGAAAGATGCTTTGGTGTGTTTTGATGATATTTTCCAATCACTGCTCATACCAAAACACGGAACAACCAGAAGAACACGCACAGACAAACAGAATTAAAATAAAATATAAAAATGACTATTTATAATAGAGGGGAAGAATTATGAAGTTATTGTACAATTTGTGAGGATTCAAAGGAACTGTGTCTTTTTTGGTATTTATTTTTTAAAGTTTACGAAGTAACTTAATAGTGAGAACAAGCTTGGAGAAGAATACACTAGTTCTCAATCCTTCTAAGAGAATTCAGGCTCTGAAGAGCAGTCCTCAGACGGACACGTGCAAGCAGCGATACCTAACACCCACTGAGCTGAGTTTTGCAATTTAAAAATAGATACCCACTACTTGATGGCTTTTCTTGGCATCTGAGTTACTGCTTATTGTTGAAAGTTGTACAATCACTTTTTAAAAAGTCTTTCTATAACTCAGAATTATCACCAGCTTGCTAGGTCTTTGTCCTTCCCTTACTAGGTTCTCCTTTGACAGTCACCTCCAACACAGGCCCTCAGGTAACTCTTCCTGCCTGAGCTGATCCCGGTGACTTCCTCAGCTCTATGATCTCCTCCTCCAGCCACCCCGCACACACTGCCAGTTCCTCCTCCTAGGGCCACACACAATTGTGGTGCACTGCTCTGCTCACAAGTCCTTCCTCCATCTCCCCTCGCATATCACACCCATGCACACATGGTCATTCTAAGAGGAATCTCAGCTACTGAGCCTGTTACTATGTTTCAGGTTCCAAACTCCGTGATGTACCTTTCCAAGCTCATGTTCTACTTCCCTATAAGAACATCAGACTTCAGCCAGACTGGACAACAACCTACTGGGCTTCCCTGCTCCTGCTCCCTTGTCCATAGCATCTCCTACCCCTGGAAGATCTACCACATTCCCACTGATGGGCTTCCTGCCCACCGCAACACCAGCTCACATACCATCTCTTCCACCAAGGCATGGAGAACTCCCTGTCAAGGAAGCAGCACCTTCCTTCTCCTAAAAGCCTGTGCCTATCCCATGTAGCTGGCACATATCACACACTGTCCTGTGCCTTAGAAAGAACACTGCACCCTCAACAGTGGCATTCATAGAGGACAGATGTTTAACAAGCATCTACTGAATTCAACCAGTAAGACCATTCTGTACTTTAGGAAAGTCCCTGGAGACCAATGACTCTGGGCACAGAGACCAAGTCACAGGACTGCCCAAAGAAGAGAAGCTCAGATTCCACTAAAAATTAAAATGTAATCCACATGATAAGGAATTGTTCAGAAATTAGTATATAATAAGGATGAACTACATCATGATTTTGCTGAAATGTATTACCTTTTCATTGATCAAACATCAACAGAAAATTGGAAAAGGCAAGATATAAATTTCTCAAAATACTACCTAATTGATTCTTACATAGTCAGTAGTCAAAGCTTTTAAGGAGATAGTGCCTTTCCATATATAAGAAAAGACTGCTCTTCTAATTATTGTGTATAACGTTTTAAGTTGTCAACTGTGTGTCTCTTGCCCTAATTTTAAATATAACTTAAAAGGAGACTCCATAACTATATGTAAGGTAAAGAATCAGTCGTGCAAATAAAGAGAAAAAAAAAAGGCTCCCATTTTACTTAAGTACCATTGACACCATTGTACTAAGAATGTGTCTATCAGGAATGGCACAGAAAGACAAACTGGCTTATAGATTAAAAACATGTCAATTATTTCATGACCGAATGTCAAACAGGAAAACTGCCTGAATGGTTTAGAAGTCTATCACATCACACCACATTTGGCCCACATCGAATGACATATACATCATTTATCATTAAAGGCCTTTTTATATAGGTCAAGGTTGCTGGGACTTGGTGTTTTGTATCTTACAGTTTAAAGAATGCTCTAAATTCTTGGGTTTTTTTTAAACTTTTTAATCTATGAGGAAGAAAAACTAAAACTTCCTATAAACTCAGATTAATGCCTGCTAATGCATGGAAGAAAGAAAAACTAAAACCTTCCTCCTACTATAAAAACAAAATAGTGTGGCCTCTGTTTCTTTTCTGATAAGAGTCTTAAATACCAAACAGTTAACTGCATAATAACATTTACTGGCAGCCAGGCAGCCTGCTTAGCAGATATATAAAGCAGGTAAAAGGAGAAAAAGTTAATTTCTTGGCTGAATGATTCCATCGGTAGCTATAGGGCAAACCTGAAAGTCTTTTAGTAAAGTAGCAGTTGATTCTTCTATCAATCTGTAGCACACATACTCTTCCAAGGAAAGCATTAAATATGAAAATCATATCCCGTTATCATCTGTTTCCAGCTTTCAGCCCAGTAAGCTTTTCTTAATGAATGCTGCAGCCTAAGGAACAAGCGCGCTGTTGGCTTTTCTGAATAATGGAGTGATGCTAGCATTTTTGCTTATTACAATATCGACTGGCTGAGGGGGTTTCACACATAGTCACAAGTGACTACTCTTGCCAGCATGCTCCAAGTTATTACAAGATGTTTTTAGACATTTCATCTAAAAGAGCTTTACTGCTTTTAGTGAAGAAAACATCTATGGTCTTGAACAGAATCATTTATATGGAGATAGGCGGGAGGATTAGACGCCTGCATCACAGCAGATGCATAGCGGAATTTATGTAAGAACTTCTCACCGATCTTTTTGTCTATTGCTTAGATATGCAATCTTTTCTTTCCACTTTTTCTGTGAAAAGGTCAAAATGTACAAAATTATATACACACAAAGAAAAGACTCCAAATGGCAAGTTTTGTTTACTTTTCATTTAAAACATTTATCAAACTAAGAAAAAAGCAGCTACAAAACATGATTTAGAAAAACACAATTTAAATACTAACACTGAGATTTTTCTTTGGAGTCTATCTCTTAACCCAAAGTAACCACCTTTCAGTAAATTTAATTAAATTAGCATTAAATACTCAATAAGCAAAAATCTTTAAATAATCACCTAAGCAAGCTTTAATCAAAAAGATCTTAATAATAGGATAATTGTATTTAAATCTTAACATATAAACACCACAGAAACCCTGTTAACAGAAAGGTTATCATTTTAATGTTTTACCTTTTCTCGGTCTTCATCTTTCAGTGCACCTTTTAGTCCCAGGTTATCTTTTGGGAATAGCTGCATCCTCTTAATTTGAGTCTCATATTCAATCTAAGTAGAAACAAAGTTTGACTTTATGATAAATATTATTATAATAGCATACACCTATACCTTGCAGTCTTTGCCACATACAGGGAACAGCGAAGTAGAAAGTAAAAGCTGATGTTGCCAAGAAATTCACCTTATCTTAGAAAACAGACAATTTCACAAATAGCACATATTAAAAGCTGAATTTTATAAAATGCTACAATTTTTAAATAAAATAAAGTTTGATGGATTTTTACTTTTATCAATTTAGGGAATAAAACCTTGCAATACATAATAATAGCTTGACACTTTAAGCTAGCATGACAATCTAATTACTTTATTATGAAAGTAACACATTAGACAATGTTTCCTTTGAAAAGTTTTGTCCTAGACAAAGGAAACACAAATCAGTTTCACAGATTTCTTACCTATATGATGTCTACATAATATCAAGTCCTGAAAGTCACAGCAATTGGTATACTATTTGCTAGAACATCAACTTAAAACAAATTCCATTTTCTATGAATAAAAATATATTGTAGACATCAATGATCAGCAACTTCAGAATCAAGTTTTCTCTGGCACTAGTAATTACATAAAGATGTCTGTGTGGTTATCACACTATAATTGGTGAAAGTGATTCACTCATGACTTTTTCTTAAAAGCAAGGCATAAAAAAGCACTTTGATTCAGTATGTTAGTAATTAAAGCCTTAAAAAAAGTCACTGACTATGGTCTATCACAGATAAGTGTCAGAACATTTTCTAAATGAGGCAGTTAGGCACTGCAATTAGAAACACACCTATGAGATAATGAAATCTGAAAGCTGTTTCCTTAGGTCTCAGTCTGAACATAAAATAGGTCTGAGCTTTGACACACAAAAAAGAGCAGATAATTCTCACTACAACTGATTTGATTCCCTCAAGATATTTTGAAAGGTATGTCCCATTTTTAATAGCAGGGAAGGTTTTTTTTTTTCCTCCAGCAGAATGCTATTAAGATGCTAGATGGCAGTAATGATCTAAATAGATACCCAATTAAATAAAAATCTTGTAAGGCCAGAACAAATGATAAAATAATAAAACAAACTAAGAAAAGATAAAGAAATAAGACATTTGTGAAGATACAATTTATGTCTCTCTGTTTCATATCCTTTGAACTTAGAGATGCTTAATTTTTAACCTCAAGAGTTTTTAACAGGCATACTTTACAGATTCCAAGGGAAAGTATCTTAAAAAAGGGATGGCAGGTGGAATACAATATAATTACAGGTTAAACAGAAATTCTTTTCTCCTGTGACTACAGATGTTTTCTGTGCTGAGACCAATGCACATTGTACCCGATTTCCTCACTGTAAGGTCATTTCAGAACAATACCTTCCGGTATTTTTTCATGAAAATATGATTCTTATTCAATTCATTTTGCTGATGGAAAAAGGTTTCCTGAAGACCTGTGAGAAGTACCTTCAAGAGCCCAAATTAGACTGTTGTCAATACAACTGAAACACTTACTGAACTGCAGACATTCTTTTCCTAAATTAATGATGCAAATAGAAATGAAATCAATAAATACTATGATACACTGATGACTGATACAAACTGTAACTCTGCATCCCTAGAACAATAAATTTCCATCTAAAAATGCTTTGTTCTCTTTGCCTTTTATTTTTCCATATAACACGTGGTTATTATCCATCAAATTCACTTCCTGAAAGCTGGAGAGCAGGGGTTTTCTACACGGTTCTTTGGGGCATGCTCATGCCCCAGTAACACCTCTGGGTCTGGAGCTCCTCTAAGGATAAACCCCTCATTCCCCACCTCTGCCTGGGAAATTCATTTTAATGAACCCAAAAGCATTGAGCTAATCCACTAGGTAACCTGTTCTGGCTGTGATGATCACTTCCCTCACTGGCTGGATGCTGCCCGCCTAACTTTAGGAGGATCTTCCCATTCACTTCCTCACTATGCATAGACTTTATTTCAGCTTCATCACTGACATGTGTTAACAACAATCTGGGGTGGATGCAGGCTCTGCCAGATGCTTCCGGTCTCTGGAGTCTCTCTCCATGCTCATACACACTTTCCATTACGCGGCCTTCTCTGTTCTCACCTTCACTCCACCAACACCCCCCACTCCCCTATCACATCCCTGCTTGACTGAAAGCACCACCACTACCTTTTTGCCACACAGACTTCCTTTTTTTCATTGGTTTTCAGGAATCCACAGATAATTCTGAAGTTACCAAGTGAATAATTGGATTGAACAGACATTTAAGGTCAGCTGACCCTGCCTCTTCATGCTAGAGTTGAGGAAATCGGTACAGAGAGTCACATCAATTGGCTGATTTGATTCTCAGGTGAGTATGAGAGATGAGACCAAGATTTGCAGTCTTGTTTTCTCTTCCCCTATTTGTCCCAACAAATGTGCTTCCTCTTAGATAGTGCTTTCTCATATTTGCATTCCTGAACTGAGTTTTTTCAGCCTCTTTATCCAACTGACAAGCAACAATACAGAGGCAACACAATATTTTCCAAACTACATAATGGATCATATCCTTAAAAATCCCTGAAACTATATTCAGATGGTGAACTTTTACCAAAAGATATGGAGGAGCATTTATTTGTTCTATTCATGCACATTAACAGGAAAAACACTCTGGGTGATTTTAAAAAAAAAGAAGGGTTTGCCCTACACTCTGTCCTCCAGGAACCTGAGGGCTGAGCTCTGCCCACGATGTCTGTCATGATTCTTAGCAGGAACTGAATAAGAGCTCAAAAGATTTGTTCTCTTCAAAGTTTAGCCCCTATCAGTGAACATAACCCAATGACTGAATTTTCAAGGAAAATCACATCTTTAAATAATGACGTGATATCTCTAGAATGCCTCTGCTATTAAGCACAAATGCTTGCTGGAAAGGTATAATATAGGGCATAATCAATAGCACATTAGTTCTCACGTAGTTGTTCATGGTCCATGAGAGAATGAGACAAAAAACACAGAAGAATTAATTTTCCATCGAGGGGGAAGTCTCAGTGCTTGCCGAGTGCCTGCACTAGAGGAGGCGGTCTCGATGTCTACAGAGTGCTTATTATGTGCCATATTTGGGGTCAGATACCGAGAGCCCTGAAATAATAAGACAAGGAGCTCACAGTGAAGTGGGAAAACAGACACATAAACAATTAGAACCCCATGAAGGAAGTGCTTACTGAGATAATTATGACACAGACCTACAGCAGGGCAGGGGGAGAAAGGCCTTCTAATTGAAGGAGGTATGAGATAATATGGAGCTTTCAAGGAAATGCAAATTGTTGAGCATGTTTAAAGTACTGAGGGCGCATGTGACTGTGTGAGTGTAAGTGTGTGGGAGAAAGCATGGTCGTGTGTGGGGGGAGATAAGGATGGAGAGTGGGAAGATATGGGGGATATAGGCTCTGGAGGAGATGAGTGGGGAGATGGAAGTAGGAAGAGACAGGGAGATAGAATGGTGGGAAGAGAGGAGGGAGAGAAGGAGATGGAAGAGAAGATGGATGAGGACAGGCCAGAAAGAGGTGGGGGGAAATGTGCCCGTCTTATTATTTGAGAGAGACAGAGACAGAATGAGACAGAGACGGGGGGCAGGGGGAGAGAGAGAGAAAGAGACAGAGACACCAGGGAAGTCACAAGGTTGACACCAGGGGTGGCGAGTGCAGAGATCAGCATCTGGGTCTTGTGCTAAAAAGCCTGGTCCAGTCCTTCAGGCCAAGGAGAAGCATACAACCCAACGACAACTCTCACCCAGTGTGGGAGCCTTCCCAAAGGTACTGGCCTGCTGGCCCCCAGCCTATCACTGCTGCCATGAGGGAGGCTAGCACAGATGAGCACAATGCTCTGTACATGCCTGGGGACCTTTCTGGGTGCTCCTCAATGCCAGGATCTGGGCTCTGTGCCCAAGGCTTCTCAGAACCTGGGGGTTCATGCTTAATTCTCTGCCACCTTCAGTCTTATCCATCATCCTCAGTCAACACTGCTCAGAAGTTGCTTACGTCTCAGACCACTTGCCAGAGTCTCCCTGGAGGATCAGGCTCCAGGGGCCAATTGGCATAGTTGGCTTAATAATATGCCCTGGGCCCTCCCTGTCTCCCCTCCTCACCTGCCTACTGAAGTTCCTTCATCTCCCAAATAAACCACTGATAGTTGAATCCTTGTCTCAGGCTCTGTTTTGGGGAGAACCCACTCTAAGACAAGGATTATGAGCGCCTGAGGAAAATCATTCTCAGTTAGAACTGAGGCCCCCTCTGCAAAAGTGGCAAGTGCCAGGAGCAGAAGGGCCTCATGGCACTGATACTCATATTTACATTCCTGAACTAAGTTTTTTCACCTCCTTTATCCAACTGATATTCAGTAACATAGAGGCAACACTATATTTTCCAAATTATATAATGGATCAATATACTTAAAAATCCCTAAAAATTCAAAGGTGGACTGGATAAAAAAAATGTGGTACATATACACAATGGAATATTATACAACCATAAAGAAGGACAAACATATGGGTTTCACAGCAACTTGGATGGATTTAGAGTCTATTATACTCAGTGATCTATCACAGACACAAAGAACAGAGTACCATATGTTCTCACTCATAAACGGATCGTGAACAATTATCATAATACTATAAGAAAGGGATTGGCAGTAGTGGGAAACTGCCGGAGGGATGGGGGTTGGGGGGTGGAATTGGCAGTTGAGGGAAACTGCTAGGGGAGGGAGGGCACACCTCATCGACAAGGGTACCTGCTTAATCAGCGTTTGTATACCTAACCCTGAATTGTACCCCACATCTTTAAAAAAAATTCCTAAAATTACTATAGGCCCCCCAAGAAAGTATTATGCACCATAAAATCAGCTGAAAATGTTTTCAATGGTTGACCCATTTTAAAAGATTTTAACATTATGTAAGGAGGTGGGCCTAGCCACCCTCTACAAAGAGGGAGAAATTCACTTAGCATAACTGGGGCAAAATCACCACTTCTCCTACACTGCTTCACTTTATTTCACTTTCCAGAATTCTACCGACATGAAGTTCACTTTCTTTTTTTTTTTTTTTTGAGTTTGAGTCTCACTCTGTCACCCAGACTGGAGTGCAGCGGCCGGTCACGGCCACTGCACCTCAACCTGCTGGGCTCCGGCGATCCTTCCACCTCAGCCTTTCAAGTAGCTGGAACTACAGGCGTGTGCCACCACGCCCGGCTAATTTTTGATTTATTGTAGAGATGAGGTCTCTCCAAGTTGCCCAGGAGGGTCTTGAACCCACAGGCTCAGGCAATCTACTCATCTCAGCCTCCCAAAGTGCGGGATTACAGGCTGAGCCACCGAGTCCAGCTTCATTTTCTTAACTGTACTCTAGTCAAAAGAAAATGCCCCTGGAAGTTTGGGATGTATGGGCAATGCACTGTGAACAAACACCTTTCTCCTGAGACCCACGTGAGGTCAGTCAGCAAAGGAGTCAAGGATCTGAAACATTAAGAGGCAGCATTAAGAGGACAGTCCCCCATGATGATATTCTTTAGTAGCTCATTACATAAGTTTTTTTAACATCTCCTATTATATACAACTCCTGCTCTCAATATTAAAATATTTAGACCAGGCACGGTGCTTGGTATGCTCTAGCATACCAAGGCCATCGCGGGACACTGGTACAAAAATAAGCAGAAAAAAATGGGAAGACACTAGAGACAAATATCCTCTGCACTGCACTGTGGTTTACTGCACAGCCTGCTGCAGGTGGGATTGCTGGCTGGCTTTGTGGTCACACAACAAGCATCAGCTGTGGATTCAGTGTCACTGTCAAAGTATAGGTCTCTAAGGAACACATGTCCTTCCCAACTGCAGCCGCGTCACCTGCTCTCTATGCTATCAGCAGGATTTTTAAAGGCATTCCTTATCCAAAATTCAAAAAAGGAACATCTACAGAATTTATGAACCATGTTTACTAATAAAGGTTTTCAGGCTGGGAGTGGTGGCTCATGCCTGTAATCCCAGCACTTTGGGAGGCCAAGGTGAGAGGACTATTTGAGCCTAGGAATTTGAGACTGGCCTGGGCAACACAGTAAGAACTCATCTCTGCAAAAAAAATAAAATAAAAAAGTTAGCTAGGTGTGGTGGCACATACCTATGGTCCCAGCTACAACCACTCAGGAGGCTGAGGCAGGAGGATCGCCTGAGCCCAGAAGTTTTTTTTAACATCTCCTATTATATACAACTACTGCTCTCAATATTAAAATATTCAGACCAGGCACGGTGGCTCAGGTCTGTGATCCCAGCACTTTGGGAGGCTGAGGCGAGAGGCCTACCTGAGCCTAGGGGTTTGAAACCAGCCTGGGCAACTTGGTGAGACCTCATCCATACAATATAACAAAAAATTAGCCAGGCATAGTAGCATACGCCTGTAGTTCTGGCTACTTGGAAGACTGAGGTGGAAGGATAATTGACACTGGAGTGGCTGTGAGCATGCCACTGCACTCCAGCCTGGGCGACAGAGTGAGACTCCGACTCAAAAAATATATATATATATTTACATTTATAGGCCACGTGTGGTGGCTCACACCTATAATCCCAGCACTTAGGAGGCTGAGGTAGGAGGATTGCTTGAGCTCAGGAGTTTGAGGCCAGCCTAAAGCAACAAAGTGAAACCTCGTCTCTACAAAAAAAAAAATTTAAATTAGCCAGGCATGGTGGTGTGCACCTGTAGTCTTAGCTACTCAGGAAGCTGAGGTAGAAGGATTACCTGAGCCCAGGAGATCGGCTGTGATGAGCCATGATCATTCCACTGTACTCCAGCCTGGGCAACAGGGTGAGATCCTGACTCAAAAAAAAAAGTATATATATATATGTACACACATACTTTTTGTAAATATATAGATATATATTTACAAAAGATTATTCCTCCCATACTTGGTTATAATCATAAATCAACAAATAAAGCCTCAATATGAAAATAAGAGGAAATTTTCTATTATTTCCTTTATTCTACAGGGGAGGCAAAATTTTCTGCTTTGTTCATTACTTTAATTTTCTCCATGAAATCTCTGAAAAGTGGCTTAGAATGATAATGACAACTTTTTTTTTAACTTTAGGCATTTTACTTGAAAACTAAGAGAAAAAGTGGTGTTAAAATTTGCTATTGCTTGAGCACATCTCACCGCAGATCTTGGTTTCTAAGTACCCCTCCTCTTTAAAAGGAACCATAGCTCCTTGGATCAAAGGTTAATTCCACATCTCAGACAGGGAAAATATGAGGTTAATCTGGGATATCTTGTTATGCACAAAATCAAAGGAGGCTCAGAATTAATGGGGTCATGTTAAAAGGACACAGGAGCCAATCTGAAAAGACTCCCACAGCCAAATTTGGGACAACAGAAATAACAAAAAGAATCCTACAACTGATAACATACTGAGTAAATAAAAATGCACAAGTCCATCCTGATATTAGAGAGAGAGAGAAAGAGAGAGAGACAGACACTCCAGCCACACCACCCTCAGCATACCCAAATGAACCTGATCTCACTTGATCTTGGAATCTAAGCAGGGTTGTGCCTGGTTAGTACATGAATGGAAGACTGTCTGGGAATACCAGATGCTATAGGTATTTTTTTCTTTTAAAGGTGGAAAGAAAGAAGGAAAAAGGGAAAATCCTCTTCGTGATAGAAGAAAGTCAGTTAATAGAACATAAAATGAACCAGAAAGTCACCATTTTACAACCTATGATGACCAATTCAAGCAAAGCTCATGAACGAGTCCTAAAACCACCAGGTAAAAAGGCTATTGAGAGACATAATATTCCCATGATGGCAAACCATCACTCCATAGATTACTTCCTGATATACTACAGGGAAGAAAGGTACCTTACAACAGACCATCTTAACTAAGGATCAAAGTCAGTCTCCCTGAGGTGGGACAGGCTGGCAGGATGTAGCTGGAAGTATAATCTCAGCTGTGACTATTTAAATTTAAATGAATTCAAATTAACAAAATTAAAAATCCAGCCTTCAGTGTCACAAGCCATCTTTTAAGAGTTCCACAGCAATGTATGGTTCATAGCTACTGTAGTAGACAGCATGAACACAAACCAAGAACATTCCCATCACTGCAGAAAGTTTCACTAAGCAGTGCTGGTCTAGACGGCACTTCCAGTTTGCAGTAAAAACAGGAGAGTGTTGTATATGTTAGAGGACACCTCAAATCTCAAACGTAGATCATTCTACAAGCAAATGACCTGCCTTTCTCAAAATAGTCACAGAAAAAAAGGAGAGTTTGGCTCCTGGTCTGGAAAAATAAGGTATCTGGGGGAGAATTGAGGAAATTTGCATATGGGCTGAATATTAAATGATAGCATGGAATTGTTTTTAACCTTCTAGGTGTGATAATGGTATGCTCACGTAGGAGACAGTCCTTGTGCTTGGGAGAGCCATAAGTATGTGCTTAGGAAAGAAGTGTCACTTGAGCCCAGGAGGTTGAATCCAGCCTGGGCAATACAGCAAGACTCTGTCTCAAAAAGCAAACAAACAAAATAAAATAAAATAAAGCATAATTAAAACCAGCTCTCACCTTCAGTCTTTGAAGTTTCTCTGTGTTTGTGGTGAAGTGTCGGACATGGGCTTGGACACGCTCAAGCTGCTTTAAATATTCTCGGTTTCGAGCGTGAGCCGCCTTCTCGGATTCACAAATTTCCTTCAGATATTTCTTTAGTTTTCCATATTTCAGCTTAACTCTAGAAAAATAAAAGCAGATTTTTTTTTTTTTTGAGTTGGAGTCTCACTCTGTTGCCCAGACTGGAGTGCAGTGGCCGCCCCCGGCCACCGCAGCCTCGACCTACTGGGCTCTGGTGATCCTTCCACCTTAGCCTTCCGAGTAGCCGGAATTACAGGCATGCGCTACCATGCCCAGCTGATTTTTTGATTTATTGTAGAGATGAGGTCTCGCTGCCCAGGCGGGTCTCGAACCCGCGGGCTCAGGCAGTCCACTCACCTCAGCCTCCCAAAGGCGCGGGATTACAGGCTGAGCCACCGAGTCCGGCAAAGCAGATTTTTTTAAACAATGAAGTTTAGACTAACAAACCTAAAGAAGAGAATTTTCTTTAACAAAATTGTTTATGAGAATAATGTGTTCTCAGATATTTTACTAAAAGCACTGAAGTCCAATGGTCAGAAATACTGAATACCTATAGGCATAACTCTCCTGAGAAATATATATACGATCACATCACAACATTCACACAGTAAAGGTTTATGTAGATTTATTTCTCAAAATTAAATGTGATTTCAAGAGCCGTGTCTATGTTGCCATATTCAGACAAATAGCCCATTAGCATTCTTAGATATGATAGGCAATTTCAAAACTATGTGCTCACAGGGAAATTGAAACAAACTATAAACCACAACCATAAAATTAAGACATTTTAAAAGATAAAATACCAAATGTAAAAGTTATTTGTTAGAAATTGCAATAATTTATTATAAAAATACTTTATAATAATACATGTAGACTGTAGCTCTACAAAAAACCTTTAGAGACCCTTATTCAAAGTCAAATACCAAAACATATAACAGCTGGGTATGCCGGGCATGGTGGCTCATGACTGTAGTCCCATCACTTTGAGAGGCTGAGACAAGAGGATTGCCTGAGCCCCTGGATTCAAGACCAGCCTGGATAACTTTGCGAGACGTCATCTCTATAATACATATATATATAAATTAGCTGGGTGTGGTGGTGCATGCCTATGGTTCCAGCTAGTTGGGAGGCTGAGGTGGAAGGATTGCCTAAGTCCAGCAGGTCAAGACTGCAGTGTGTATGCCACTGAGTGTGCCACTGCACTCCAGCCTGGGCGACAGAGTGAAACTCTGACTCAAAAAATGAAATAAAATAAAACAATGGCTGGGCATGGTGATGTGCACCTGTAGTCCCAGCTACATGGGAGGCTACAATGGTAAGATGGCTTGAGCCTAGGAGTTTGAGACCAGCCTGGGCAACACAGCGAGATCCTGTCTTTAAAAACAAAAAACAAACAAAAAAGACATATGAAATAGTTCACGTTAAAAGGACAACTCTCCTAAGAAATGTATACAAGATCACATTGTAACATTCATACAGTAAAGATTTATATAGATTTGTTTCTCAAAATTAAATGTGATTTCAAGAACAGTGTCTACATGGCCATATTCAGCTCACTCTTCTCCCAGTGCCAACACCGATAATCATTTTTCTTCTTCCCAACTATTTAAATCATAAAAAAGAGTAACTGCTATGCAGAATCTGTATGATTGGCTCAATATTCAGCATTCTTTCATCGAGCAAAAATAAGTGTAAAAAATGACCAAAAAAATCCACCCTCAAAACACAGATTTGCAAAGATGCTGGAGATGTCCAAAACTGCTTAACACCAGACATTAAACTTCCAGCCCTACGCCAACAGTTTCCAAGTAAGTATCTTGTTAAAAATTCTGAGTTTTGACCATGAGTGGCCATCTCCATTTTTCTTTCTGAACAAAAAGCTTCAGTTTTACTGTCCATGTCTGTATTTTTGATATGAGTGACAGCAGTGGGTGTTGAACCCCACGTGGTCTTTCATGGTCAGGCACTTGGCGAAGCTGCCAGCAGGGTCCAGGGTCTACCTGGAGTGGCACAACAGTAACCATGCCCTCTGCAAATTCTAGTTACAGTGCTGCCGCCACATTCACCTTCACAGCTGACCACATAGTAGTCATTCATCCATTCATGCAGTCATTCACACATGCAGCATTCCAAAGAGGAAAGTCCTTCAGCTAAGGTCAACAGGGAAAACAAACAAGTTAACACAGGTGATAAGTGCTATGAGGGAAATAACAAAGACAGCTACACACTGGGCAGCCTGGCCTGGGTGAAGGGGTCAAGAAAGCTAGGACCTAAAAGGTGAATAAGAGTTCATTAAAATCGGGGAAAGCCCAACAATGAAAAGATAAGGGAAAAACATTCTAGGCAGGGGAAGAAGCATGTCAGAAAGCTCAAAGGCAATGAATAAGAACAAGGATATTGATAAAGACAGTAAAAAGCAATAACTGACTTTCCTCTAGGTCAGACACAGCCTTAAGGCTCTACACAGTGTTCTCGGAGCCATCATCTTCCCATGGGACAGAGGAAGATGGAGGCACAGAATGTAATAGGCCAGACTTCTTGGAGTCACTGGCACTTGAGCAATGGGCTCCCAGCAGATCTGTACACAATGCTGAAGACTGGTGGCTTGCTCTGCTCCCAACCAGATAAGCCTGGGCACAGCCAAGTGGCTGAGTTAGGAAGAGGCCTCAGAGCTGCTGCATGGTCATCTATTCCGCTTGGAAACTTTGGAAGTACACTACATTTTAAAATCAAAGAATAATCTTGAAGATAAGGAAAGAGACATAATGGGTGCTTTGAGTTTAAAGTGTTCTAGGCCTCTCTCTCATTTCTCACTCATAGTGTAACATGGGTAAGTTACAACTTTAATGTTATCAAGGCAGAAAGTCTCCATATGCCCAATATTGGAGGTAACACCGAATATTTGGCTTAAGGATGAAGTTCAGTCTTTATAAAATAGAAGTTATAATATATATTATCTACTGCTCAAAATAACTTTACCAGTCATTCTCATGTATTCATGAACAAATGAGACAACGGGTAACTCTGCCTGCCACTGTTTCTTGAAAGAGGAAATACAGTAACCATGCCTTGTCACACAAGTTCATGTATTTACACTGTCACTAAAAAGACTATAGGTCTTATTTTAAGGTATTTAGACAAAACAGATTCCTGAAATAACACAAATACCAAGTAACAAAAATAGGATAATTTTTGTTTCAAACTAACTTTAATCAAATTTATTCTGAATTTGACAGTGATTATATTAAATTGCAGTGTTTACTTCAAGTTATTACATATAAAAATAAGAGAAAAGTAAAAGTACTCCAATTACAATGTTTATGACAAACAATTAGGGTTACATTTTTTATTGAAACATGGAAATTGGCTTGAAAACTGTCACCACTGTCATCTCTTACCTGCATATATCAGACCGATTATACTCATAAAGTTTCTCTTCCAGGTCCAATCTCTTCTTTTCACTATAACATAGAAAGAAAACATTTTATAAACAATTACACTGATAAATAATAGGCAGTTGTGAGAATGCTCCTCCTATGATCTCTAAAAAGCAGAAAATGCCAGATGCATTTGAAACAAAGAACAAAATATGCAGTCCGTCACCGGGGACATCTGAAAAACAAAATGGTCACCAATACATGGCAAAGCACAAGATTCACAAAGTGTATAGGGGAAATGTACTAGGAAAAGGCTAGGAAGGCAGTCCAACCATTGGGCAAGTGTTTGTTGAGAGCCTATGAAGAGCCAGGCACTGTTCTGGGCCTGGAGACTAACCTGTTGAACAAGCCAGCCAAGACCCCTCCCCTCAGACAGTTGACATTCTAGAGCGAAGGAAAGACAATCAATGAGGGAAGTATATAAAATGTAATATGGCCAGACTTCTTGGAGTCACTGGCACTTGAATGATGGGGTCCCAGAAGGTCTGTCCATGATGCTGAAGACTAGTGACTTGCTCTGCTCTCAACCAGATAAGCCTGGGCACAGCCAAGCAGCTGGGTTAGCAAGAGGCCTCTGAAAAGTAAACCAGGCCTCACATTTGATGAAGACCAGAGAGTCCTTAATACTATCACTTCAGATGTCGGTACTTTCCTTATAACTTTGTTACTTGCCATTACTTATCTCTAACTGCTGTATCCCATGTTCAAGTGAGCAATAGCCATAACCAAGAGGATAAAGCCTGCCTTATCTCACACCCAGTGAAGCCATGGGGAGAGGAAATGGGGTAGCAGAGGCAGCAGTCACAGCCAAGGGGGCAAAGCTGGCGAAGCTGTTCAGTCCTGAAGAGCCCTTGGCAGTATAACCACAGAGGGTTCCATTCGCGCCCCACCATTTGCTTCAGTCCCACATAATGAAGCCAAACTACTACTCTATTGAGCTGATGCATAAGTCCATAATGATTTTTTGCTTCCCCATGGAATGCAAGTGTTGCTGGAGGGTTGACTGGCCACAGTTCATCACATCTGCCAATTCTCAGGTTGACTGACACGGATCATTGTGGATTAAAGCATTTAAATGGTCTTCATCAAAGCCCAATGGTCTTCCTGATCATGGAGAAACACTCAGGTCAAAGTGGCCCTCTTTGAAATGACATTTTCTGTCATTTCTGTCTTTGAAATGCTATTTTCTGGCCACACTGTCTCCGTTGGCATTTTTCCCTAACACAGTGCAAATGCTCCAAGCTGCTTTTGCTGCCTTTACTCCTCTGTTAAACAGTAGACTATGTCAGAAGTGTTAATTTTTTGCCAATTGACACTCCATCTTCTTTAGCTCATAAACAGCACTGACTTTCTTCAAATCTGCAAGATGTGTTCACAAGTATAACATTGTCACTCCATCACCTCCCAAGCAGCAGCATTCTTTGCTCTTGTTCTGTCTTTAGTAGATGCACACATCTGCTACTACATTTCTCTATCACAAGACTTTACACACAGAAAAACCACATACTCCTCTTGGCCTTCTCTTCCAGGTCACATGGCACTAGTCTTGTGACTTCACCACAGGCCCATTTTCCAACCCCTCATCCATACTGCAACACCCCTGAATGCAAAGGCCTTCCCATCTATTTTAAATTTAAGACTGAAAACCAGATATTTACCCCAGTGAAAAATCAAGGAAAAGCTTATTGGTAGGATCATCTTTCAATTCCTACATATAAGTTTTTATTTCAGAAACTTTGAAACCCCCAGCCCTGGTGCTTACCCATGGGCCATGTTTTCAGTCACCTGCATCCCTCCCCTGCACCTTTCAAAGTTTTACACAGCTGAGTGGTCCTTATATGGCTGAGTTTTCTCCTTTTAAGTCACTTGTTATCCTGTTTTTGTCTCAAGATCATCTTCAGCTTTACTCCACTAATATCTCAGTGTCAATTTCCGGACTATTATGCTATCTCACCCTGAATCAACATTGGCATTGAAAAACCTTGGGCTGGTTAATGGGCCTTTTAAAGGGATGTTTTTATATGACTCTAAGAATTGATTCCACTTACATGTTTCTACCATCCTTGTGGATGCTGTACACACTGTGACAAGTTCCTCCATTAGACTTCTTTAGAGTCATTATTGACTTTGACCACAAAGCAGAGAAAACATTGTACACACAGAGGAAAACATTCAGACCATACAATGACATCTATGCAATCACTAAGATGACGTGGGCTAGAAATATGCCATTTACAAGCTTGTTATTTGACCAGCTAACACTGCAATGACCACCTCTTAAAAGGGTTGAGAAAGGGCAAGTTTAAAAAAAAAATCCTACTTTCCAGAAGTTTCTGGATTGATAAAGCAGTTGGGACTACCCAGGGTTGTAACCTTGAAAATGAATCTGGAGTTTTAGGAGACAGTGGTCCATGTAGTCACTGGGATTATTTTTGTTGCTTTGTTTTTCTAAAAAGTGTATGTTCAAATTAGATATAGACAATAATATTTTTTATGCATCACTGCAAAACTACAACTTCCTTTTTTTTTTTTAATTTTAAAGCCCGTCACTCTAGCAAAGAGGAAAAAAAAAATGTGTGGCCTTACTTTCCACTTCACATATGAGTCAAGTTCACTCATTTCTAGTGAAGAATCAAGATTCAGAGAGCGCAACAACCTGTTCAAGGTCACACAATTGTTCATGTACTCGAACCCAGGTTTCCATGTTTCTGCTGCAGCTTTCTTTGTACCTAAAGTTATCTGCCTCTATAATTGTGTGTAATATGCATTAATTAGAGTTAGTTATGGATTCTTAAAATGAAAAATGAATACACACAGCAACAGATTTGTACTAACTTAAAAATAAAACAAACCTCCAAATGCAGAACCATGGATAGTCTATAAAATTTGACTTGAATTCCTTATATAATTTCAACAGCCTCACCTTGTTTTAATACTTAAAGCAATAAATGTTAATCATAAAGTGCATAATCACTACACAGTTATTGTACCATAAGGACTATAAACAGCCAGGTGCTCCTAGCTAGCACAGGAAGCAAAGAGGATAACACACAATTAACTTAGTTCAAAAAGAATGCCAATGGCTGGGCACGGTGGCTCACACCTGTAATCCTAGCACTTTGGGAGGCTGAGGCAAGAAGACTGTCTGATCCCAGGAGTTCCAGACCAGCTTGGGCAACATGGAGAGTCTTCATCTCTACAATAAATAAAAAACGTCAGCCAAGCATGGTGACACACGCCTGTGGTTCCAGCTACTTGGAAGGCTGAAGCAGAAGGATCACCTGACCCCAGCAGATTGAGGCTGAAGTGACCGTGATTATGACACTGCACTTCAGGCTTGGCAACAGAGTGAGACTCCGACTCTGACTCAAAAATAAATAAATAAATTCATGTTTTTTAAAAAAGAATGTCATTTAAACCAGTAACAGTTTAAAATCAGGATTTGGGCAAAGAGATACAAATAACAAAAGGCCTGGGGTAACTAAGACATTCTTCTAACAGAATGCTGAGCCAAAAAGCACCTTAAGTGTACTGAAATACAGAGTAATGTCTTGTCTTTTCATTACCAAGTATGTGCATACACTTAATACCTTCTTGAAAATATCACATAATCCACTTTTCCTGGTGACTGGAAACTATCACTATTTAGTGACTAAATCTTGTCACTATTTAGTGACAACGTGTGGCTACTGGGCTCTATATAAGACATTCATAACTCATAGACACTAAATGGTTGACTTTGGGATTTCCTCCACTCACTCAACACATACTTATCAAGCACCTCTTCCACCACAGGTACTCTGTTTTGAGCTAAAGATCTAGTTTGATATGGTTCCAGCCCTTCTAGGATTCTCAGTCTAGGCAAGAGAGTAACTCACTTAAGACCTCATCTAGAGTCCTGTAAGAATACCGAAAATAGTAGAAGTTAGGGAATGGGTTTCTACAGAAAGTGATTTTTTTTTTTAAGTTGGAGATGAAGAGGTCACTGACATAGGTGAGTGGTGATATGTCTGAAAGAAAATAGGCCCAACCTCACCTGCACACAGTTTATTTATATAGTAAATTCTCATAGGTACCCCACAACTCTAAAATAAAACAAAAAATGAACAAATGTTAAAAAAAGAAAGAAAGAAAGAAAAAGAAAACAGGATACAGAAAAGGAGCAAGAGGTAAAATATGATGGGGACAATTAAGGAAGCCTATTGTAGATGTTTGTACATGTTTGACAGAAACTAAATCTAGCATAAAATGAATGTAATTCCTTTTCAAAAATCAGTTACTTCTACCTTTACCTTTCATGTAACTATTATCATTTTAGAATTGTCACACACACAGATCCTGTTCACTAGAGTAATTTTGTAACTTTTAACACTCATTAAATGTTTTGTTTATCAAGAGATCTAAAAATCTTTTTCCTTTCTTGTCAACTAATGAGATTGACAACTCCAATTAATTTAGCAGCTAAATAACAGGTCCAGCAACTTTATTTTATAAGGTTATTTAGAGTAAATTGTTTTAAATTTTCCCTCTTTATGCACTCTTAGGTCTAGCGGTTTTCAGTGGTCCCCATCTTTCATGTCTTAATCAAAAGGCATTACGGACCCTCTGGAAGCTGGACTTCTCTCGCTGGAAATGTCCTTTCGCTGGGAATTTCGCCAGCCCCCGCTCCTCCTAAAAGTCTCCTGCATTTAAACAAGGCATGTGTTTGACAAACACACACACTCTCTCCAGCCTGCGTTCCTGGACTTGTCATCATTGATGCAGTACAGCTGTCAAGGTGGGATGACAACTTGAAGAGAGTGGGGAGGGGGCGGTAAAGGGGGACTAGAGAAACGCACAAGGCTTAATGGAGAGTGACAGGCAGGAGAACTCCCACTGTCACTTCTGGGCAAATTCAGTGACGCGGCCGCATCCTCAAGCTGGAGGCTGCGCTTCAGCTGCTCTTGAGGGTGGGGGGACCCTCACCTCTCACGGCGCCCACCTCCAAGACAGGGGGTGCCTCGGGTGAACTTTTGTCCCCAGGCCGCCGAGAGCTGGGGCGGAGGACGTCGCGGACAGGCCCGGGTCCGGGGAGCCACAGGCAGGGGGAGTGGGAAGGACCCGGGCCCGGGACGCAGAAGACCGTCGGCGCCGCCGCCTCCCCGCTCCCGCCACCGGAGGCCGTACCTGTCCCGCAGCCCCTCCTGGAGCTGGCGCAGCCTGTCGTAGAAGTCGGAGCTCGACTCAGGCGCGGAGGATGCGGCGGTCCGACGCATGCTGCCGCTGTCGCTGCCGCAGCCGCTCACACTCCGGGCGGCCTCAGGGAGGCAAGAGGGCCACGGTCGTCTGTGAGACCGCCCCACAATGCACCGCGGGTAAACACGGCGCCCAGCGGCCTGCAGGGGGCGGGGCGCCGTAGAGGGGCGGGGCCAGACTCCGCGTGGGGCGGGGCGAAGGCCTGCAAGGGGCGGGGCAGAGGTGGATCGTGGTTACTGAGCCCCACCGCCTAGGAGGGGCTGGGTGAAAGCTACTTACTGTGGGCCTCGGTGCCCTTGCCCCTCCGCCTCCACGCCGGCGTCTCCGATCCCTCACCCTTCAGAATGCGCACAAGCTGCATTCATTTTACAAGGTGCATTCTCTCCCTCTCTCCCACCTCCCCTCGCTTCTTCCTCCTTTCCCTCCCTTCTTTCTTACCAGGATTTGCTGAGTGCCAGACACTGTGCTAAGCTTGTTCTATCAGTACTCAAAAGCAACACAAAACACCACGAAAGAGACAAAATCCCAAATACTAAACAGCTGAGCTCAGCCCCGACAGTAGAACAAATCCTTACTTGGAAATTCATGCTGAACCTAAGGGTGTGTTTAGTGCTCCCGGTCCTGTCACTGTTGCAGTGAGGAAAGTTGTTAACAAGTTGCTTGGGAAGCAGACACGTGTTTGTGCACAGTTCATATGGACAGTGCTCCAAACGGCTTCTAACAGAAACTCTGGAGCCAGACTGCCTGGGTTCAAATTCTCCTCTTCCGCCCAGCTGCCTGACCATGTGCAAGTCACCCCCTTGAAGCCCAGGTTTTCTCATAGGTAAAATGAGAGGCTGTTAACACTGGGTGTGCTTAGGATTAGACTAGTGAATATGTGTTAGTGTTTGTAAACGTGCCCAGCACATAGAAAGCACCAGCGTATTTGTGATTATCATCACTAATGTGGGGAAAAAAATCTTCCCGAAGGAAGTCAACCATATTTCAAAATCCACAGGGCAGAAAAAAACCTTAATGTCTCTTAGTCCTTTTTAAAAAAACTTATTTTGCTATTTTTTATTAATTTCACTTGTTATGTGCAATGTGTGGCAAATTAACAATGATCGTTAGGAAGCTGGATGTGGTGGCTCATACCTGCAATCCTAGAACTTTGGGAGGCCAAGGTGAGAGGATCACTTAAGGCCAGAAGTGTCAAGCCAGCCTGGGCAACATATCGAGACCCTCTCTCTACAAAAAAATAAAATAAATTATCAGCCAGTTGCGCACCTGTACTCCCAGTTGCTTTGGGAGTCTGAGGTGGGAGGATCACTTGAGCCCAGGAGTTCAAGCTTACAGTGAGCTATGATTGTGCCGCTGAACTCCAACCCGGGAAACAGAGCAAGACTCCATCTCTATTTAAAAAATAAATAAAATAAATAAAACTTATAACTAGTAAGAGAGATGAATTACTCAAAGGTAGACAATATAAAACAGTGATATTACTCAGCCTTCATTCACATCTGCCAGGTCCAGGGCATGAGTATGAATGGAGGCCCTCTTAATATCCGCCTAAAAATTATGAATTAATAACAACTCAGGATAACAACTATAGAGAAAATATGTGCTCTTCTCCCCACCTTGACCTATATACCTTCGTAAGAGCCTGGAAGGCCAGCATGGAATTTCGTTCTCTGGTTCCTTCCTTAGCCCTCCCCCTTATCTCCCACCCCTGGATAGTCTTGCATTGAGGGGCTGCACACACAGGCAGGAAAGTGTGGGCACAGTCACATAAGCCCCAGCTCCTGCCACATCCCCACCTCAGACATCTCTTGGCCCAACAGTGAGCATACCAGTGATGGCCATGTTTGCAGGAAAGACCCAGAAAAGATATCTTCCAAGGCCTTGGAAAGCAGTTTGTGTTTCTCTCAGCAGGGAATGCCAGGGTGTTGGGTACCTGGAATGTGTTCTAAAAGGGTGTGTGTGTGTGTGTGTGTGTGTGTGTGTGTGTGTGTGTGTGTGTTTGTGTGTGTGAGTGTGTGAGCACTCCAGGTGGCCATATTCCCGGCCCTGGGTCCTCCTGGCTTTGTGTGGCATGGGATGGCCAGAGGAGGGCCAGAACAGACCTTCTAATACACAGAAGCCAGTGCAGGGTGCCCTCTTGCCCTGATCTAAGGACAGCACTGATGTGACTTCTGTTTAGTTGTTATATTAAATTGCTATATCAAACTAAAATGGTAGTAGTGTGAAAAGATTTATTGAGTCTAGTATAAGTAACATTTTACTACAACTCTGGGGAAAAAAAGGAATTAAAATTTTTCAGATATTTTATTTGGGCCCACATCCCCCTAGATTAGTTTTAAGGGGAAAACATTCCCCAAACCATTAATATAATGAATTATTTTCAGCAAATAGCACAGAGTAAGCAGATGAGACAGTCATTTACCATCCCAAGTTTTTATTAGGCCATTTTAAGAGAGTCTAAAATTAAATATAATTGAATAGTAAATAGATAATTCAAAATAATTATAGTTTGATTCATTGATGACATATGACAAATTTAGACATGGGACCCCCTTTATTAACCATAACACATAGCAAACAATAGAAAACTTTCTAGAGAATTTATACTAAAATTATGCATCTTAAATGGTGACAGACTTTCAATAAATTCAGAGTTCTTCACTTTGAATATTTAATTGACTAGAGCACTCTCTGTTCCTATTTTCCTCCAGTCGCTTTGTTTTAGCAAAGCTGGTTTCTGTAAACAGAGCTGCCTTTAGCTTACCAGATCGAGGGTCATGGAGTTTGCCCATATTGTCAAGGCATCCTATAAGTCCCAGAATGTCTTAGCTAGAAACTAGAAGGAGTCTAGCCTTATGCTCTTGTTTTACAGGGAGGGAAAAATGTTCAGGGCAGGTAAAGGACTTGGCCAAGGTCACACAGTTGGAAATCTGTGTAATACTAATGAGTCTAGTTCAAAACATGAGTCTCTGATAACCTCCTTAACCCAATAACAGGGGGATGCCAGTGTTTTAGCCCAGTAGTCATATGGATCTTATGGTGAACCATATGCTGGTTTGGTAGCTAAAAAACCATCGCATTAGTGAAAGAAAAGTTGGTTTTGGGACATATATTGAAATTAGAATTTTACACTTTAAAATGAAAAAGCAGCTGGGCATGGTGGCTCACACCATGGTGGCAGCTGGGCATGGTAGAGGCAAGAGGATTGCCTGAGCTCAGGAGTTCGAGACCAGCCTGGGCAACTTGGCAAGACCTCATCTCTCTACAATAAATCAAAAAAATTAGTGGGGCGTGGTACGCGTGTCTGTTGTCCCAGCTATTTGGAAGGCTGAGGAAGAAGGATCACCTGAGCCCAGCAGGTTGAGGCTGCAGTAGTCATGATCGTGCCACTGCACTCCAGTCTGGGCGACAGAGTGAGACTCAGACTAAAAAAATAATAATAAAATAAAATGAAAGTGCGTGCAATTTAAAATTAAATCTTGTATATGTGAGTCAGCAACTGCTTGGATGTTGTATTCATTTGCCAGTGCTGCCATTACAAAGCATCGGGGTGTCTTAAACAACAGATTTATTGTGTCACAATTGTGGAGACTACTTCAGGAATAAGATATTTACAGGAATGGTTCCTTCTGAGGACCGTAAGGAAGAATCTTCTCCTCTCTCCTCTCTCTGATGGTCTGCAGACAATCTTTGGTGTTCCTGGGCTTGTAGACACATCAGCTAACCTCTGCCTTGATCTTCACCTGGTGTTCTCCCTCCAAATTTCACCTTTCTATAAGGGCACCAGTCATAGTGGATTAGGGACCTACATTCCTCCAGTGTGATCTCAGCTTAACTATTATATCAGCAATGATCCTGTTTACAAATAAGGCCACATTCTGGGGTACTGGGATTTAGAACTCTAACATCTGTATTTTGGTGGGGGGAGGACACATTTCAACTTATAATAGACATGAACATGGAAAACATTTCGTTTTTCAGTCCCTGTGCAGAAATATCAGACATTGTATCCTACGCCAGTAGAAAAATTGATTTGGAAGTAGAGATGAAATAAATATAGGAGTTAGGGGAAAGGCTGTGGTGCCACATGTGACTGTGTAACCCATCTTGCCATTGAAATTTACCCTGGTGTAAGAATTTATTGTCTCATCTAAGCCCCTAACAGTCCTTTGAGGGCTGCAAGTTTAAACAACTAGCCCAAGATCTCTAGCCCAAGATCTTGTGTTTCTGTCAAGCTGATGGTAGTGAAGGGATTGGGACACAGGCCTATTCCATTTCTGAAGTAACACTCCCTCTTATCCTCTGTAGTATGACCTTGAAATCCGTCACTTGGCAGCTACTGAGATTTTTTATTTCCTTGTAATGAGATATGTAAAATATATACTAAGACCCAGAAGGATTTTTTACATATATTTTGTTCATTGTTTGGGGAATAGTATGCATTTACATGGAATGCATTTTCCTACATGCTGTGAAATAGCACCATGTGTTCACCATTCTGTTTAATTTTCTTCCCTGGCACTCAGAAGACATGCTAGCAGTTAGGTGGGTTTGTATGTCCAAGTCTAATCAATGAAATGTGAACAGAAGTGATGCAGTCACTTCCTGGTTTGACCCCAAACCACTCTGCACAATCTTCCCCAGTTTTAATTAGTTGGCCAGCCAGATGCAAAGGAGCCAGTAGAGAACTCTGAGGCCTTGGAAGAAGTATGAATAATTGCAAAGAGCATGAGATTGTGACTTGAGCAAGAAATAAATCTTTGTTGTGTGGAGACACTGATACTTTGGGGTTGCTTGTTTTAGCAGCTGACATTGCTTGCCTTGACTAATACACAAGCATTCCATGCAGAAATGACATAAATGCATCAAAATAGTTTTCCACAAAGTTCTCAGTGAGGATTTTTGTGATTGTTTAGATGGTAAGGGAGACTTCAAACCTGGAGTGCTACAATTAAGAGCCAATATCCAAGAAGAGAGGCCTAGATGATGAAGGCAAGGTTATAGTGAAGGACCACGTAGAGGAGCTCCGTCCAATGGGACTTTCTGCATTGATGGAAATGT